TACAGACAGCTATCAGTAGTTAATGCAAATCTAATTTGACCTTAGCTGGATGATAGGTCTGGGCTTTGGCGCCTGTTGGTCACTACAACTACGATAAGATTGGGTGTTGCATTTTACATTTGTGTGTGCGTGTGTGTGTGTGGATTTCCAATAACACTTCATAATTATAATAATAGAGAACAAACAAAACGCGTTGTATCATTGTATCTGTGGATGGTGTACATGAGAGTCTATACTTAATTGGAGGCGGGAATCGGGAAAGAGTATTCGAATGTGGACATGATGCTGATACTGATACTGATACTGATACGGATACTGATGCTGATAACGATTAAACACAGAGATACTGCAACTATTACTGATAACAAATAATTTATTTGTCTTAATTAAATCATCGAGAGAGTTTCGCAGCGCCGATTCGCGCAGCTTGATTACTCTTATATGCGTGGCTGCGGCATACTAAGTAGTTAGGTGCAAGCAAATTAACGACTTTAAGTATGTTTAATAGAGATGATGATTAACTATGTAAATTGTATAAATTGTGTTCAGCATGGCCATTCACGATGCCATACTTAATATGTCTGTGTGTGTGTGTGTGAGTGTGTGTGTGTGTATGTATGTTGTAATTACAAGTGAGTTCAATATAATATGTAAGTAGGTAGTGGATAAAATTGCAAAAAACATATCTACTTCATTGTTTAATGTTTATGTAGTATTTAAGTAGAATTATAAAACGTGTATTAAAATTCGAATAAATTATTATTAATGTTCATAGATCAAATCAATACAGAACTTAAGCGGCAACGTGGTGTGTGTTTCAACAAACAAACCAACAAACAATTTAATGTTATGCATTTTTTTTTTTTATTTTTAAATTATTTTTTTGTTATTTATTTGGAAGAAAGTCCAAAAACCAAACTTAGAAAAAAGCTATTTGGTTCGAAGCATTTCAACGGGGGAATAACTAAAACTATAAACAAAACCAATTTGTTGTATAAATTGACTCTGCTCTGAAGTTGCATAAAAACTCGCTCGTTAAACCTTTTTGGCAAACTTCAAAAGGGTTTAAGTAAAGCCCAAAATTAAATACAAGATAAGCTGACACTTTGAGTTTTCATATACATATATAGATAATTGCTCTTCAAAAGAAAAACAAAATTAAAGGAAAATAGAGCAAGCTTTAAAATGTAAAAACAAATCAGGATTTTTATTTAACAAAATATATATTTATTACGACTTCTGCTTTAGAGCTCAGAAGCCATGCATCGGCGTCAGCTAAATATGCCAAAATTCATCGATTTCTGCTCTCTTTTTGGTTTTTCTTTTCTTTTTTAGCACTCACACACAACTAATTCAAACCCTTCTGTAAATTGTCTTTCAAAAATTCGAATTAAGCATATCAAATATGTAGATTGTGTGTATGTGTGTGTTTGTTTGTCTGTGTGTGTGTGTGTGTGTATAAATTTGTTTGCTCTGTTGGCTTGTTTTTACAATCAATTCCGAAATGATGCTAACAAATGTGATGCATGCTTTGAGTTATGGCAGCGCAACGAATACAATACGAAATCAATAAATGTTATTGTCAAAGCCAAACTACATACACACTAACGTATACAGAGTATTTATCATTCGAATCGTAGCAGTACGAGTAGTAATCCATTGTTGTAGTGTAATGTGTGAAGAGAGATGCCAGAATTTCTGCTTATATTCGTATATAGATATTGCAATGTGTGTTTGGAAAAAAGTGTAGCATATCTGCCAGGCGCTACGATGTCTAGGGCAAAAGCTTTTGGGTTCAATTAAAGCAGAGAAACTGCTGCTTTGCATACATTCTCATCATCTAAGGAAGCCAACTGACAAACAACAATTGTGATGATGCTTAGCATTTTGATTATATTTTAGAGAGATAACAAGACTTACAGAAGGATTTGACAACAACCAAAGATTCGACATTTAAGCTTAAGCCTTGCTTGATTTACGTATTTCATTCAAGAGAGCCAAGTCGGAACTCTGCTCTTTCTTTTGCTCTTTCACATGCCGCCAAGAAACCAATGCCGTTGTGGGTAATTCAAAAGGTTTCAAATTTGATTTACTTAACAATTTTTTTTTAATATTCAATTCAAGCTGCTTGCAACTGTTTTAAGTGGTTTCAGATCTGATTTTAGTATTCCTGTTTTTGTTTTTTTTTTTTTTTTTTTTCGTTGCTGTTTCAATCAACTGCTCTGTGGCTCTGCTGAGCAGAAGAGTTTCAAAACAAATGTCTGAGCATTTTTATGCAAATTCAAGTGACGTCAAATAACACTCAAATTAAAATAAAGAAATAAATAATAAAAAAACAAAAAACAAAAAAAAAAAAAAAAAAAAGGACATAAAACAGCAGTGAAATAATAATAAGACATCGTATAAAAGGTTGTTCATTTTGAATTTCTGAAGTTTAGTAAGAATGCAATATAAGAAAAACTTAGGTTAATTCGATTGTAGCGATTGTAGCTTTATAGTTTCTGGTATTTTATATTTTTGGTGTTGTTGTTGTTATTTGGTTTTTGATTTATATTATTGCATTTTTGTTGTATTTTTTTTTTTTTTTTTTTTTTGTATGTTTTTTTTTTTTTTTTTTGTGGTACAGCCAGCAACGTGTTCGTGTACCTTTTTCTAGGATCCTTGCTATAAGTTCCACCATATTTGCTTCTCTGGGCAGCCAGTTCAGTGATTTCTGGTATCCAACTAGCGAACACGGCCTAAATTCAACAACACACATACACTTTTAGAATATAGAGAGAAGTGCCAAAATAGTTCAGTTTCAGTTACAATTGCAGTTTTAGTATTTGGCTAACTAGTTGTTGTTGCTGGTCTTTTGGATGGTGTTGTGTTAAAAAGAATTTGCAGTACACTTAATGCGACACTCACAAGACTCGTAAAGGGGACGACGCGACGACGTGAATGCAATTAAGCAGACAACGCTGGACAAGAGGAGGAAGCACAGCTCCCCCACAACCACGCGGTTCACGCTGGTGATGCACACATACTCTCAATCCGATCACTCACTCGCACACCCATACATACGCACATACACTCTCATATACATATATACATACATACATACGCGCTCACATACTTTTGACATTCGCTCAATTTTACAGCTAATTTTACAATTGATTTTTGGTTGTTATTTATATTTTCGTTATATACAGTTTTGGATCTCTGAAAAGATATATTCACTTTTACCGCATCTAAATATAATATTTACTGTAGTTACGTATTTGTTCAAGATCTAAAATTTACAGATTTACAGCTGTACACGACAAGTGCTCTATGGCTGCCTAGAAGTGTGCGAAGTTAGTCTCGACTCAGCTAGGCGCGCACGAATGAGTTTTATTTTTTATTTTTAGGGGAAGGTGTGAAATTTAAATGGCGATAGCTTCCAATTCTAGTGAGTAGGCTAAATGTTATGCAATGATAGAGAAAGATAGAGTTGTTGAGTAATAAATAAACCTAAATGCTTAAATGCCTTGTTGAGTGATTATACAATAAAGAAAAGCCTCGGCTTACCGAAGCGAAAGACAATTTCCAAATATTACAATATATTTAAAATATTAAAATATATTTATATTATAATACTTGACTGGAAGTTGTCTTTCAAAATAAAACAAATTGAAATGAAAATTCAAATAATTATAAATATTATTGTAAAGGTATTAGAAATTCGATGGACTAGTTATTTACGGTGACACTGACAAAAAACGTTTTACTTGAGGATCAATATTTATAAATTGAATTAATTATTGCAAAATGTAGCTTAAACTCTCTTCAAATTGAAATTAACGTGTACTTAAAAATTTAATTAATAATTTTTTTTCTTTTGGCAATGCGTGACCGATGTTTTTTTTTTTAAGTTTAATCGTGTTAACAAGAAGGCGCCGTAAATGTTGCTTAAATGCTGTAAAACGTTGAACAAATGATTAAAAAACAAACCGTTAACTATTCTGAAATTAGTTGTACTTCTGGTGTTATTTATTGCAAAATCAAAACGGAAAGCATGGCAAATCAAACATAACTCAAATGTTAACGGAAAAGCAAGAAATGGACAGAGTATTCGGGCCAAAAGTAAAATTCATGTAAAACACACGCCTACAAAGTGTTTAGAGAACGAATTGATAACTATAAATAATTGAAAGCAATGTGTGAGAGTTCATCAATAAGTCAAAGCAAAATACAAATACAAAAACCCTAATATAATTATTTGACATAAAAAAAAAATAGACGACTAACTGATCTGTATAAAAAAAAAAACATTTAAATAATAATAATATGTAAAGTTCTTTATACTTGTATGATTTATCAATATCATGTTTTTTGTTTTTTTTTGTTTTCTTTTTTGGTAAGATATATATTTTATTGAAAAGTTATTTAGGTAATCAGATGACTTTTATTAGTCAGAGTTGACTGTCAGCTACATTTGATGATGGGTAAATATATAGTATATATTAGTAGAACTTTGCATTACAGTCAACTTTGTATGCGAGTTACCAAAATACAAATCCATTTGGTAAATTATAATCGTTTACGGATATATATATAACAAAGGGTAACAGACTAAGTACGTAATTTGATAATTGAATATTAACGTAACTAATTGATTACTGATTATGAGTTGTTTTTGTTATTGTTGTTGTTGTGTTCCTAACACGAATGCTAAGCACATTCATAGCCCTCATTTGACTTTAATTCAAGTTTTGAAATTGAGCTGCTGGAAAAGGCAAAGCTAAAGTTCATACTAAAGTTTTCCAGCATATATTTTATATAGATCTTTGATCTATTTTTTACAAATAAATGCAAATTATTCGGTGCATCTTCAACTTGATATTGATTGATCGATATTTGTGTTTAATTGTTTTTATAGTATTATACATTTCATTTTAATGTTTCTCATTTTTTGTTCTTGATTAAATGTGATGTTTTATGTCGTTTATTTTATTGAATATTGGAATGTTATAGACTACCTCTTTCCGTGTTCTCTTTTCAGTTCACCGCCATATTTATTGCCACTACCAACGAGTTCAATTATTTCCGGTATACTGCTGGCAAACATTGCCTAAAATATATATATGTATATGCCACACATACGAATACAGCAAGAAATTAACAAGTTTGTTGAGCAAAATCAAAGATTCTTAAGACCTAAGAGGTGTGTGTGTGTGGTAGAGCAACAGGTTTACAGATAAATTACTTCCTCTGCTTCACGGGTACGAATCGAGATCAGGCAGTCACACCAGAGGAGGCTCTTACTTATGGTTACACTAAATTAAGTTGCTTATCTGAGTATGAACCTTAAAGCAGTTGGGTTAAATTACTTTCAAGTCAAATTTGCGGCAGCCAGCATAAAGCATGCAGTAATAAAAAGCAAATACCTTATATATGGGGAACATTTTGATTATTATTGTTATTATTATATATAACATATATATGTATGATCCCTCTCGCTGTCTTCCTAATACATTTTTGTTTTTCAATTTCATATTTTTGTTTTTCTTTTTGTCGGTGTCAGTGTCAGTGTCGGTGTCTACGAGTTGTTGTTGTTGTTGTGGTTTGTTACCAAATCAAAGGTAAATTGAAAATTCAAATATATTGTATATGTATACAAAAAATATATAAACTGCATGCATCTGTTTCGAGTTTGTATTTAAAAGAAGGAAAAAAAAAAACAGAAAAAAGAAACAAACGGAGAAAGGCAACTGTTTTTTTTTTTTTTTTTTTTTTTTCAAAGTTAATCAACTACCAGCTGCTGTACGAGTAAGTATGTAGTATATGTCGCTGAGAGTGCGGGTAGAGATAAGAGCAAATCGAGAGTGGATAATGAGACCGCACGTTGGAACGCGTTAAGCTTACTTACAAGTGATGTCAAACTAACGAAACTTTGATTGATGAATGCTTAAGATAGTTAGATAAATGAAACTTAGTCTCAAAGTAAAAACTTTCATAATTAATTTGGTGCACCATTATTAAGTCGTTCTATGTTGTATTTACAAAGAAAAAAACGTAGCATATCTTTTAAATACTCTTTTTTTTTTTAGATTATTAATTGAATAAAGTGTAAAATATTGTTTGATAAAATCCTTAAGCTAAGACTCGGATTGTATTTTCTGTAGGGGCAACTTCAGGTTGAGTAAAGTACTTGGGCTAATGGTACTCTTACTGTTACTGTTACTGTTACTAGTACTGTTACTGGTACTGTTAACGTTACTGTTACTGGAGGCTATAGTTTACATGTTCTATTGGATACTTGTTCTCTAAGCTAGTTTTGAGCGCAACTGTACTATGGTACGTTTGGCAACAATCAGAACTCGAACCATTCACACATTGCCACACTGACAACACCGCTGTCGCTTGGCCTAAAACTCAATGGGCCTCGATGTGAATTGGGTAAGACCGAGGGGAATCGGGAGAGAGAGAGTTAGAGAAGGAGACATAGAGAGAGAGAGAAACATTGTCTATATTTGCTAAAAGAGAGTTTGGATTCATTGACATATTTGTTGCTAATGTGTAATTTGTTTCAGTGTTTCAGCATTTTGTTGTTCAACTTACCAAGCCGACGAGCAGAAAGAACACGAGAAATGTTCTTCCCAAGACAGTCTCACAGTAAACGTCACCATATCCTACCGTCGACATGGTCACAATTAGGAAATAGACACAGGTCCAATAAGATAAACGATGAGCATTATTAAAATCCAGCGGATCGCCAGAGTTCTCCAGCTAAATTTTAAGTAAATGCAATTGCAATCGATCAATTGCAAATAAATACGCATCAGCGATTATTCATATTGAACACAAACGGAACCTTTTTGGGGCACTGCAAAAAAACGCCACGCATGCCCTCCTCAGCTATCAGCGTCAGCTTGCCACACTCGTGCTCTGTGACAGCGTGCCGCGCGGCGTATACGTAATCTCTTTAACTGGCTCAAGCACGCGCTGCAGAGCTGTCACAGAGCCGGCTGGAAGGCGGTCGTCATGCATAGCTGAATACAGTGTGAGTGTGTGGGTGTGTGTGTGCGTTTTTCTGTTGAGTGTTTGTGTGTAGGTGTGTGTGTTGCTGAGTGTATATGTGTTTGTGTGTCTACATACCAGATGTATAATGCCCGCTGCTGTTAACCACACGGATATAAAAATTGATACTAGTTGAGCCAAACGTATTGAGCTCGATGTTTTTAGTACGTTTAAATATTGTAAAATATCTGGAACAGTCATGAGACGTAGCGCTCGAAGAAATCGAAGACCTGTTTATAATACACATATATATGGACACAGATTATAATTGCCGCACATACACAGAGACATACATACATATATATATGTGGATATGTATGTATGTTGAGTAAAGCACATTGCATGCATACAAATCGATCCTGGCACGCGGTAAAAGGACCTTTTACAGCTATTTAAATGAAGTATTACTTTAACGGTAACGTGTGTTCGCGCATTTCTATGCGTGCGTGAGTGTGTGTGTGTGTGTATGGGAGGGGGATAGTAAAAATATGAAAGTCTTCGACATTGAAACCGATTTGTATGCATCAAATCGTTGTTGGGAATTGATATAAATTTAGGTAATTCTTTTGTTGCGCTTACCGATCCATGTTCGATCTAAATATATTGATACGAAGGACGGGGGTATTGTAAAATAATCTACAAAACTGTACATTTCTAACATAAACCAAAGCTTATCGGACGCCGCTATGAACTGGAAAAAAATTGTTAATAAAAAGAACACAATTTACAATTTACAATTTTTCCAAAATCAAATTACAAATAATTATTAACTAATGGCTTAATGGCCAATCGAATTGCGATCAGAAAAAAATCAAGAAATATAATAAGCATGACGTGTAGAACTTACTCGTATAAAAAAGTAAACCATAAAAAATATATTGAATGCGAGATCGATCTGTTGAGTAATGTTATTACTCCATTTTTGGCATCTTTCAACTTCTTCGCTAGATGCATCAACAAAATATATAATGAGAGATGCAATGCTGAGTATAAATACGAGTACGACCTGAAAGAAAACAGAGCAAAAGGATGCCGTTAGTAATTATTAAATTAAACTTAAAGTAAGTGAAAAAATAGTGTTTAAATAGAGGACGACCTTATTCTATTGCAAAAAAAAATACACATTTGTCTTGCACAGAAACAATAATTTAACACGAGATCTACTGACCGATTGATAAACCCCAAGAAATTAGATAAATATCCTTACTATTCACAATTATTGACAATTGCATTGATAAATCAACATATTATTGTGCACTAAACTTAATTTAATATACTCTCTACCAACTTTACTTGCTCAGAGACCAGATAAATAAACGATTAATGGACAATTTGCTCTTAATACTTTTAATATTTTAATATCGAAATATTTTTATGAAAATAATCAAACTGAATTTATCATCTCAATATGTTTTATTTCAATAATTAAAATATTAACTTCAATGTATGGTAATCCAATTCAATTATCAATTAGCAGGAAAAAATGTATTCGCTTGAAATTTTTATAAATTTGCGGAACTTTAATATCTTGTTTTCAACCAATTTGGGCAACTTAAAAAGAAATTTAGAATGCACGTAGGTTTAAATTTAAATTATATTATGCAAAACATATGATTTCGATTGAATGATTATTTTTCAAATAGTTTTTGATGTACTGCATGAAAAATTTGAAATTTGTATCCCAAACGGTTTGAGTTGTTTACAAATTATATATTTTTTTTTTAACAAAGTTAATCTTCATCCTTCGAAAGTGCATAATTTTTAATGCATATTTAGAGCTTGCTCAACTAAAAAATCAAGCCCGGTCCATTCATTGTTCCGTTCGTCTATCATTAAGCGCTAAAGTCCTAAGATTTAATTTTTTAGATTAATTAACCTTTATACTGAATAAGGGGTTTGGCTCTACCAATAAGTAAAGTTAAAAATTATGTAAAGTTAAAAATTATGATGTAAAGATTCTACAAAAAATCTCCCATGATCCCAAAATCTCCCATCATCAAAGAGCTAAGAGTAAGAAAAATGTATATTTACGCATATAAAGAATTAATTATAATAATTCAAGAATTTCGATGGGCTAAGATCGGTTATGAATCATGAAAAGGGATGAAAAAATCTATAATTTTAGAGTCATGTACATACATATATATAAATTTATAAAAATATGCTAGTCAATTTACATTAACCTATGCAGAATAAGTACTTCGTTTATAACGCGAAGCCATTAAAAATGGCAATCCAGTATAAAAGGGCTCTCTTATAGCTGACCCATTGCCCATTGACTTGTCATTTGTTAATACAGACATATCTATAACATTACCACATTCTGAAAACTGCATTTAGAGAGTACATAATTTCTCATAGCAAAGCTCATAAGCACAGTCGCTGGGTGAACTGCGCAGCAGATCTCATGATTTGTGTGGATGCATGTGTTGTTTGCTATGCAGGCATGAGAGAAGAGTGCTCTTATTTCAATATATATCCTATACATATATCATATATTTGCGCAGATTTAGTGCTTCGAGTCGCTGCAGCCTTGATGAGCTGCCTCTCATCTTGGCACAGCTGAATGACATGCAAAAATAATTCAATGGGCTTATGTGTTTCGGCCGGATCTGCGCTGCACTCTGTGGCCCATTTGATTTATTGGCAAAGGTACGACAACGACATCACTGCAGCAATTAGTCGAGGGCGTTCCGCTGATAAATCTGCGGCAATAATGAAAATTTTACCAGGTAATTACTGGACTGAGTTACGACGCCTGCCCAACGCGACAGCAGGAGCCGCAGCAGGAGCAGCAGCACCAACAGCTGCACGAGTCGAGCGCCAGTTAAATGTCAGGGCTGTTTGCCAAAATGAAAAGGCCAGTTAAGGTGAAGCAACTTGGGGCTGGCGCGGGCCCTTGGCCAACACAGTGTCGTCTGCTGGCACTTCGTGCTATTGTAGATGTACTTAATTGTTATTGCCACTGTTTGGCTACTCGCTCAGCCACATAGACGTAATTGCTTTGATAATCGAACAGAGTAAAGCCCAAAAGGAAATCTAAATTTGGCAAAGGACGCACGCAAGCTACTTACGCCCTATATTACAGCTGATTTTCGTTGTTTGTTATTGTTATGCAAATGCTCGTATCGCATACAGAAACATTTTCGCAGTAAATTGTTGTAGTTCAGCTTATACTACCAAGAAGTCTCAGAGATAGCTTTGCTATAAGATTACGTATACGCCACGGGTCACCGGTTGTCTTTTCATTAAGTTAACTTAATCGTCGCTGGCATCTAATGAAACAGAGAATCATAATCTCATCCGCTGTTGACGTCAGTCTTTCCCATTAGGTATGTACGGCCGTAGTCATCGGTAGTCAATACGCCGCTGACGTAATCTGGACAAGGTAATCAATGCAGCACAGAAGCCGGGAAGACGGAACAACAACGACGCCTACGTAACACGGCCACAAAGATGATAAAAACTTCTTGCTGCTCTTGTTATTGCTACGAATATTCTTGTTCTTATGGTCATCAGTGAGAAACTGGGTCAATCTCTTTCTCTGATGCTCACACCCAGAAGTCTCTGATGGGCCGCAAAAACGATATGAACCTAAGCAAAGTCTTGAACTTCAAATGTCAAACTCACCCAGAGGTTGTTAAGGAAGTCACATGAGTTCTGTATCCCTTAAAGGTTATTATTAATTTGTGGTGTAATGGTGAGGCAGATAATTCCCACACGTTAAAGCGAGTAAACATAGCTCGAAAATTAAAAATTATTTCTAAAATATGGCGAAAGCTTTTACTAAAACCTTTGAATTTTCAGTATATTCATTCAATCAAAATAGGACAAACTAAATGAAACAATTCATATTAATTATTGTACTCACTTATGTAATGAAATGAGTATGTTGATGTTTGGAAAATAATCTCGGGTATACCTTCGTCTGATCAAATGTTAAGATGTTCCCAATACGCCCACTAGAGGCATAGCAAATCGCGAAGTACAATACAATTTCCGGTATCTCAAAAACAATGATATTTGCAGACAGACAGACTTGAATATACCCATATTCTCGCGTCGATATCAATATGATAAGGATATGGCGGGTATATTCCATTGAAGAGGTGCCAAATCGGAAAAGACTGTATTTTCTACAACCTAAAGGTTGGGCCCAACCAATAATAATATTAAATAAATAAAATATTATAAGGAGTTTAACATCTGATCTGCCTTACAAGTATTTACTACACATTATATTTTATAGTGTTAGAATCTTAATATTTAGCGAATATACTCGAGTTGACAACGATTACTATTACCAACTGCTGAATTCTAACATGTTTATTATATACCCAATCGAGGATCCTTTTTTTTGTAATTTTCAAGCGACTCCCATCAATTTCTCTGTATCTATATCAGACCCTGTCAATTTAATCTTTTACCAATAAATTTTTAAAGACAAATTGAATTAGTTAAATTAAATTGCAGTTAAACTTGTGGTTTTGAGGCCGAAGTCTATATAGCAAAGCCAAATTCAAGATTTCATAGGGCTCCTTTGGCTGCTTGGGGTACGAAGTATGTCTTTATCAAGGTCAGTCAATGCTGCCAACATTGCATGAGACAACTTTATTGAATAAACTCTAACTGTATATTAGACACACAACGAAAGTAATAAAATATTTCATATAAACAAGATTTGCTTCAAGGTTTTGAATTTCTGATGAGACATGATTTATTTCTTGAAGCAATTAACCTAATGCAGAGGAGCAAACCGTTTAGCTTAGCCTCTTCATGATTTAGGAGACCCATAAAACTGGTATACATTTGCAAATAGGATCTTCTTGAGTGCCAGCTGCTCACAATGTCCAATCAGACCAATCAATTTAGTTATGACGCAACAACACAACAGAGAAGAAGAAGAGATCCATTCCTGCAGTTTAATGGCCCAAAACGCTGCTGCAGAACCAACGGCGCCTGCCACTTCCACAAATTGCCGCAACTGCGGTTTTTTTTTAAAGAGTGCCGAGCGATTGCGTCTTGGTGGCGTGACCGAGTGCAATCGGATGTGTCCGACACGGCCACCTCCCCATGACCCCCCCCCCCTGATATCAGCTGCCATAAATGCTGTGCTAAAGTCTTTGGCACCACTTCCGCATTCTGCGATTCCCTTTAAAGAGCTTTAAAGCCGATTAGCAGCGGGTCTCAAGTAAAAGTTACTGTTAAAGTGCATGTTAAAGGCAATGTCGATTGTGTAAGCGCCGAAAAGAAATCCATACTTGCTTATTCACGCACTGACAATAGTGGTTGAGACAATGACAACGAATCGAAAGGATACAGTGGCAAATGCCAAAAGGCTTCTAGAAGCCATCTAAAATGCGGCCAACAGCTGCAACAGCGCCAACAATGCCACACATTTTGCCAACCAATCCTGGCCAGGCCATAAACATTCAAGCCAACCCACACTCCAGACACTGCCTACCGCTGTCTTTCTCTTGGCCCTGGTAACAGTGAAATGTGTGCGAGTTTTTTTTATCGATTTTCTTTAGGCCTTTTCCTGGCACTCGCCCACGTTATTTGCCATTGTTGTTGCTGTTGCTGCTTCTGTTTTTGTTGTCCTTTTATTTTCCTGCGCTGCTTTGGCGTTCTGACATATCTTCGCTTATTTTGTATCCCTATATTAGCTGAAAGTTGTTGTAGTTGTTGGCATTTGACTGACTCTTTGCATACAACAACAATATCGATAAACACACACAAACCAAACTCTAATGGGAAGTGGGCGTGGGCTCGCCAGTGGGCGTCACCTGGAACTGGAGCTGGAGCAAGTGTGCGAACATTGAAAGTATTTGTAGCTCTAGCTATGCCCGTTGTATTATACTAATGGCAGACAGCCATGCAGCGCCATTTATCGAGCAAAAACTGTTTTCAACTTCCTCTTCTCATACCCTGTATGCCCACAAAAACTATACAAATTAAGGGTATAGCTATATGATGATGGATGATGACTTATATCAAGTTAAAATATGTTGTCTATCGAACAATATTAAGGGTATTCCGATCATACGTGTGACATCTACAGATACACCATATATAGTTCAGTTTGTATGCCTATATTTTTATGTATATACATACATATATACACCTATGTTTACTCATATATACATATATGTATGTATTTAGTTATGTACTGAAGTATACTAAGTTTAATATTATTTTCTCAGATGACTTTGTGTTTATCACTGTAACATATTGTGAATTTATTAATCGCCTCTGCTCCCCGCTACTTCGTTGTCTTCTACGCAAAGCAGCAAATCCGAATCAACAATCGAACAGGTTAAGGGACAGATAGACTATTACTAACCAAGCGATAATCAAGATCAAATATATTTGGACGCATGAGTAACAGGTTATTTTGCTTTTTATATATAATTCAATTAATTAAATAATCTTATACAATATGATTTTTTATAAGATATTATATTCAACTATATTATTATTATCATATCTTTTCAAACAATATACAGGGTATCTTATAGTAGTCAACTATTCCAATGGTTGTCGCACCATCAATACTAAACTAGCTTTTGATAAGGAACGTAATATGTATTTTGACTGCATTCGCATAAACTGGAATTCCATTGCCCTATTCGGTCTCTTTCAATCGGCGAGGCCTGATAAAGACAAGAATCGCTGAAGCCACAATGTTAACAAATCACAAAAGTGTAATTTCAGATAACCGTAAATGTTATGTTCTTCACTCCAATTATTCAATTATTCGTATGAATATTCATAGCTTCCATATCTTTTACCTTGAAGAGTTTCATACTTTGAAAAAAAAAAAAAATATGCCATAAAATATTGATTTTACTATTTCTTGCAACTAATGTGGCTTACCTACTGAATTGGATTATGCTCTATAAAATGAATTAATCATATAAAAAAAATTCTTAAAAATGCCAAGACACTTTTTTTTTAAGTACATATAAACATATGTGCGGTTATGAATGACTTATACTCAATGCTTGAATGGGCTTTGATGTATTTGTATATATTTGCGCATTCCCAGTGTATATATTAGCCACTATATATCACAACATATACGCTATTATGGTATATTATCATAATAAACAGATGTTTGTGTATCAACATTTCAAGTAATATTGGAGAAATATCTAAATTTATGGAATTCTTAAAAGAAATATGTTAAAACTATATTTAGTGTTTCTATCTGTAGCTAGCATACTAGATACATTTTTAATTTTGAAATAAATATGGAACTATAGACGAACTTTATGTAAAACAGAACTATATAACTGAAGAATAATAAATGTCAACATGAGAATCAACAATATTGATTCAATACTATTATAAATATCTATCGCATATATCTCTCAAATGTAATATATGATTATTACGAATCTAACATTTAGACTCTCAAATCAATATTGGAGAAACTATATTAATGGCTAGAGCTTTAGAGAATATCTAAACTACTAAAAAGCCAAATCTTGAATCGGAATTATCAAATTGCTTTGATAATCACTACTTCATCTAGTTGTTACCTATATTATGAAAAACAGAATTCTCTATATTTTCAGGAGAACAAAGCAATAACTCGGCTATTGTGACTGTTTCAGATCAGTGTGAATACTTTATAGGTTTTCATGAGTGGTTTGAAACATTTCACATATTATTATATGAACAAAAATATACCGTGCTTACATATTTTAAAAAGAACTGGGCATTATAGTAAAACATAGTAAAGTAACTTTTAGCTTATAAGCAAAATATACACAAATGCCTAATCTTTCTGTTAAACAGCGAAAAAGAATCATTTGTAGATAGGCCTAGGTCTAGTAGTCTAGTACTAGGTAATACCTTAAGCAAATGCGTCGGCAAGTTCTGAATGCCGCTGCTAAGATTGAGCTTAATAAAAAACTCCCATTTAATGGATGACTACGTAATGCGACATATGCATAATGTACAAAAATATTTGTTTACATATTTCGCAAGGCACATGGGACCGGTTGCCATTAGGTGTCTTCAGTTATCAGCACATATGTTGCTTATAACTAAGTAGTTGTTAACGACTAGATCCCCGGACTTAGTCGAAGCCCCCAAAGCAGCCGACAGCCGACAGCCGACATACGGCAAATAACACACACAAAAAACAAAATAAATCAATTTGCTGACGAGTATTTGTGGTACATGGAAATGGTTGATTTACTTTGTTGCTTCCGCTGTTGACATGCAACCGTTGGAGGCAGCACCGAAATGTGCCACAATAAAAATATAAACATTAGATTTTACACGCAACTTGTTTGCCCTCTGCAAATCCTATGAAAGCGACGCAAATTGAGTGAATGGTCCAAATGCAATTGGCTTTATACATGTATTTATACTCCTTTTCACTGGGAGCAAGAGTATATTGGTTTGGGGCCATACTGTTATTGCTCTTTGCTTAGCAGTTCGACTTGGTGTTTTATAAGGTGTTCAGGTTTTTATTATATATCTCCTCTGAGTACATAGAAAATCGTATAATATTCTACCCTTGGAGTATAAAAGTGAGAAGATCGATACATAGATGTTGGTAAATATACTCGGGAGTACAACAAGACCATTCGTATGTCGGGGAATATCACCATTATATAATATACTCATGATAATACCTGAGATAATCTATGAAGCTTTATCTTTTGAGAATGGAAATTACTATAACAGTTTGGTTCAAAATTGAAAGAGAACGGGAACAATTATTTTTCCATAATTTCATTTTCATATTTAATATAGATGCATAAAGTACAATATTCCGTTGATATCCTTAAAGTCTCAATTATCTAGCTATTCGGTCAGTTACAGTGTATAATATATATAGCATATATAGCAAATATAGCATATATAGCATATATAGCATATATAGCATATATAGCATATATAGCATATATAGTATATATTGTTGATTACTGCTGATCTTGCTGAAAGTCTATATAACTATTTTCCAATGATTTGTATTGCTTGCTCTATAAGCTTATCAAAAATTTCAAAATTTCTATATAAATCCGGATATAACGACTTCGCTGATAGCGTTCATACTTTTATTGCGACGTGTGGGTAATCTTATGTGGGGCATGGCATATGGATAAAAATCAGATATTCCATATTTATTGAGCTACGATCTATGTTGATCGGCTATACTGGTAGACTAATATATGCATATTCAAACTATACAGACATTTTCGTCTTCAATTCAAATATTTTTGATTAATGTAACTTTTGCGCAGTTAACGAAAATTTCTAACCACTCTTTTCTTGTACTTTCCCTAAAATTGAATTTGAATTCATTTTAAATAAAGTAAGTAAAGTAAAGTAAAGTGCGACTTACCAAAATTCGACCAGTTGTTGTTTGACCCGAGATAAGCTCTCCAGCCCAGTCTTTTGCTTCTGTCATAAATGTTCCCTCGAACTCTTGTTTGTTGCGTGACGCCTTCTGCTCCTTTTGTTTGGGATCGTTGGGTCCCAGGTCCGGCTCCTTGCGGCAGCAGATGAATGCAAACGCTCGCCATAATAATACAATGAGCAGGCCAGCAAGGAATGTGAATATGCTGGATAGCAGAAAACACCAATATTTGCGAACTTTGAGACAATCATCGGCATCGAATGGTGAATCTGTTGGATCATCGGCCAATGATTCGACAGTGCTCTGATCACACCCCGACATCCCCTGCAAGAGTGCGCAATAAATATTGATATGAGTATTGGGAAGCGACTGGCGCAATTAACAAGTTAATAACTAATTAGCTATTAAGTATCCATGAACATGTTTGCAACTATTAGCGATAACATGAATAACTAAAGACATAGTTCACAACAATTTGAGCACAAGGCGGCATCCATTTATAAAAATATTTACTATATGATATGTATGTATATACTATGTATGCATATGCATGTGTATGTATATGTTTTCATTTATTACACATACGTCACGTTTGACATTTAGAAAATCGACCACAAATTCTTTTTTTTTCGTTTTTTTTTTTTTTTTTTTTTTTTTGGCTCAAGTTTGCATGGCGAAGCGCATAAATGTAAACAAAAATAAAGTACAGAGAGTGTCGGACATGAAATGCACAAAAATGATAGAAAAATATATAAAAATAAGTAGCTGACACATCACGGGATAATTGCTTACATTTGTCAATTCACTGATATTTGTGCCGATCAAACCGCTTGCCATTGCAAATAGCTTACATTGCTGCGGCTCACTGCTAGATATTTGTATTTAAATGTATATATATAAATTATATATATATACACACTATATATGTAGATAGATATGTACAATGGTGTGTAGTGATGTTGTGATTATGCTTGTTGGCCAAGAGAGACTCGCTGGGCTTTCAAGTGCATATAGGCCCCTGGCAACTTTGGACATGGCCAAGTGGCCAATGACGCCACCAAAGAGCCAAAAGACGCGACACCGAAAAACGGAACGGATCGCCACACAAAAACTTGGCACGCCTTTAAAAATAGCAACAAACAAATCTTTTCTTTTATTTTTAAAGTGATCTCGCAATGTACGCGAGGCGACGCGACGCGACGCGACACACACGCACAACGCTGAACGCTGCTCGCCACAGAACGCGGCTACAATTTGCTTGAGTTGTCACACTTCAGGCATGCGACATTTTCAGCATACGAGGGAGAAACACGAATTTCTAATGAATGGGAATGGCGCAGCAGGCTAAACTTCACTACAAACTCTATGGGTGTGTGTCTGTGGGTTATTTGCCTTTTCTATTTTCGAAATTTGCACGCTTTTCAATAACGGGGCCAACGCACTCAATGAATCACTGCGTATGCTACGTACACATGCAATAAATGTATATATGTATGTATTATAGATACATCTGCATTTGACACACACGAACTCGCGCGCACACACACACACGCGTACACACAGCACCGCAGAGCACACGCAAAGACCACAAATTCAGCCAAGCAAAAAAAGGAGGCGAACCGAGCGAACAGCCCAAACGCCGCGCACCAACTGAAAATGAACAGGCCATTACGAATGTTGCGCTGAGGAGCCTTAGCTATTCAGCTATTCAGCTACTCAGCTACTCAGCCACGCAGCTACTCAGCTACTCAGCTAGTCGGCTGCTCAGCTAGCCAACGTGCTATCTCCTGACGTGGACTGGCTCTCTGTCTGGTTGACCGCGAAAACTGACATCGCAGGCGACACACTTGAATTTAATTAAAAGCCAAAGAAAAAATACAAGAAAATCTAACAGTTATGCCAATCACAATTGCATACCCTTTCCCCCATCAAAAAGCTATGCTTATTTGGTATAAACAACAAATTTATTGCAGTTCCTTTGATGAACTGCAAGAAACAATTGTTTTTGTTGTTCTCTTCGAGAATAACCAAGCCAAGCTATATTTTCTATATAATGTAAATTAAAGTAAATGCAAAATAAAGTATGAAAAAAGTAATATACATTAATTTTGTAGTTTTAAAGCATGATCTTCAAATATTTTATTATTTTCATTAATTTATTTATTTGGATTTTTTTTTACTTATCAACAGTGAAATAAAATACAAAATAAATGTGAGCTACATAAGTAAAATTAAATGTGAACAATAAAAGGAATTGCATTATTTTTCTATTGAAACACTTTATAAAATAATAAATACTCTTTACCAAATATATGTATATATATATGTATATTTTTGAACTAAAATATTATCATATTTTTTCGACTTTAAAATTTCATTACTTCCTATATCATTGACTCAAACCTTACAAGAATATATACATGGCCACTTGAAGAGTATTTGCACGTTTGTACAATAAAGGCTGGGTATGTGTGTCGATGTGTGAGTGAGCTGCCAACAATGAATTGTTATTACAACAAGAACAACAGCAGCAGCAGGGCAAATATAAATATATAAATTATGAGTTTCTTTTTTTTCCACCCAGTGCCATTCTAAGCACACACACACATACAAATACAAGTACACGAAACACTCACACATTTTGCATTCCATCTCTCAGTCGCATTCGCTCTCTCTGTCTCTCTCTTTCCCTCTGTCTCTCTCTCTCACCCTCTTTCTGACCTGTCGCCCCATTGTGACTCCCAGCAGCAATCGAGGAACCGACAGGTTAACTCAGCCCAGTCACGCCATGTTGCCAGTAAGCTGTCGTTTCATAATTTACGCGTTTTGTTTGCTATTTCCTGCGGGGATAGACCAACAAAGAAACCCAAGCCCCACCCCGCCACCCGCCCCCGACATGCAAACAAGCTGGCCCAGTTAACTATGCCTCCGTCTTAACTATGCGTTTCCACTAGCCATAATTGCTCATCATCATCAGCCGGGCCACGCCGGGCCGGGGCAGCAGCGTTTATTTTTAATACCCTATACCCATTGAGAGTGCTTAATAAGCGGCAATATGCCTGTGTACAAAAGTATGCAACAGAAGAAGGCTAACCACGGCTATAACAAAACATCAAAGGAAATACTTTCCATGAGTGATTTTTGTTTAATTTCCTTTTTTGCTTTACGGCGATTTTTGCCTACGGTGCATCGCATTTTTCCTAGCATAATCTATTCTGACTTGGCAATCGTAGTCCCGGCACCTTTACTTGGTATCCTCTAGTCGAGCAAGACCCTAATTATAGTTATAGTTCTCCTCATATACGACACTTGCAGCGTTTCAAATTATTGCCTCATTGCATTTGGCCAATTATAAAATTTTTTTGAATTCGCGTATTTAGAAGAGTATTTTTAAAACTATCTATAGCTAGCCTTGAAATGCGAAATGCATGGAATAATGGTAAGCGCAAGTGCACGATGATGACGTATACCCATTAATAATTCAATATGAAGTCGATGTGATTATATAAGTGCCCCACTAAGAAATACCCGGAACACTTTTAAGAGATACATATACAATCTACTACCTGAACAATTGCTACATAAATAATCTAAATAATGACATTCATATTTGTAAAGCTAACATTTATCGATTTTTAACGATAGCTAATTAAGTAACTATTGAAAAAAATCAACTACTTATGGTATACAGAGTCAAGTCTGTGGCTGCATTTATAAGAGACAAACTCAAACGTACTGACAGACACAACTCTTCATTCTAATCAAGAATAAATATATTATATATGTAAGACTGGCAAGTCTCTTTCTATCTCTTCCATACACTTTCACAAACTCATGATACCCTATCTTTCCATTTTCACTGGTTTCAGGGAATAAGAAGAAGGCTCGATTCATTTTAATTGATAATTGATATGCGAAATATGCTGATAAGGCGAAGTGAACGTCAATTAGTCGGAAAATTGTATTAGAATCTAATGAGATGCTCGAATTTACTGCGATTGTACCATTGTGACACATTTAAAAGTAAGTCATTCTAGAAATCGACTATAAACTTGTTTTCTTTTGAGCATTCGAGCTGTCTATGTTGTATATTCATAAGTCAATTTATTTGTTTTAGAAATCAATCAAATTGGATTATTGCACTACTGACACTTATAATCTATGTAGAACAGGTCTATTCTGATAATGATTCGCTGCAAAGCGTATTTTCCACTGAGCTGTCGATAGACTGTAAATAAACATTGTTTTTGGCAGACAGACGACTCTCAAGATTCGAATTGACCCATTGGAAGAAATGTAATTTTAAGCACATATATGCTATAGATATAGTAGAGATATAGTTTATATTGCACACATTCGACACACAATTTGTAAATATTTTTGCACGATTCATTAAGTTTAAGGAAAAAGTAAACAACACAAATGTACCGATTAATTACACTAGCTAACAAATTTTGGTATTCAGTAATCTAGAAGACTGAAATGTTGCCAATGTCAAATGTTTTAAAAATATACTAAACTAAAAATGAATAAATCCAGTCTTATTGAGTACATTTGAGTACAATAACATCAAAAGCCAATTTTCTTTCGGGAACACTAATAATTGTACCGTAAAGTTAAATTCCTAACTTTCGAAATATCTTTTTAATATTATGCAAGCCTTTATCCATCATCCAAATATCCCTGACTTACTAAAGAGTTCCCATACACCCTCTTTTTCTCGCTATAATACACACTCATATCATTGGCATATCCCTTTTACCTTGTGAAAAGATAACAAATTTTTGAGAGGAGACATCGATATATCAGTTTCAGATACAATCACACAAGGATAAACTTTTTTTTTTTTAATACTATATCGTAATTAAAATTCAGCTCAAATAGACACGATTAATGTACTCTAGGGATAGGTTAGATCCCAACGATTCGTACTCGGATTTGGTTTGAGAACGTATAAGCTGATTTTCAGTTACCTCAAACTTGTTGACCTGTGTTATCGTTACTCAGAATGTTGATGAAAATGGTTGGTCTAGCTTGGAATTTGTGTCAAAGTGCCTTTGCTGGACTTAAGAGCTGTATACAGACTATAGAAACGACCCGCTGCTACTAATAATCTAGTCGGAGGGCGTTTAGATAGTGAAGCGATATAAATTATGGCAGAAGTCTGAACCGATGGCGACAATCAAATGGATGAAGTCACTCAACGACCAAGTGGCAATAATTTACATTGCGAACTATTGATTTTGGGGCGTGGAGGTGGGTAGATAACTTGACGCATGTCCGTCAAATTGTGGAAAGCCAAGAACTGTGAAGAACACAGATAGAGACAGCAGAGCTGACACGACAGCCAGACTGAGGCAAATGCCAAGCGACAAGCGACAAGCAGCAAGCAGCAAGCAGCCAGTTGACAAATACCCTTCGACTTTTTGAGCAATTTATGGGTCGCACTTGGCCCGCTGATTGTGGCCACTGATTGCTGACCGCTGCTGGCGTCGCGACATTACCAAGGCCGAAGGGCTTAGGGGACTGCCCACCGAGCATTGCACGTTGAGCGTTGCTTTGTCCGCTTTTGGTTTCATTTTTGTGCCACATTTGCAAAGGTCACGCAAGCTGATGCATACGTATGGAACTACTCCGCCAAACAAATTCATAAAAGCGCACACATAGATATATAGATATACATATATGTATACACATTGGCGAGTTTAGTTCAGCTAGTTCAGCTACTTGAGACCGATAGCCGTTTGCGATTCTTATTAGACAGTCATTAGTAGTTCAATGACTCATGATCGATAGCTGAACTACTTAAAAGGGCATATCGTTCACAAAAAGCGGAGCAAATTAAGTGAAATCAAATATCGGCACTAAAACCGTATATGGCCGATTTAACTATTTCAATTACATTTATTCTATACGACATAGACTTGCTCTAATTTACATGCTAAGCTATTTTGTACACTGAAACAGTTCACATATGTAGATAGGAACCAGATATGAAAATGATTCACGTCTAATTAATCCTAAAGAAAGCCGCCATTGATTTGCTTTAATGAGAGATGACCACAACATGATTGATTAACAGTTTTTTGGGTCGCACTGGTCGATCTATAGCCAGCTCGAGGTAGACTTGAGCATTAACGATAGCTAGCCTAGCTCTGGTATTGGTATACACATAAGAAAGTGTGAGTTTTACCTTTGGCGAGATGGGCGGATAAAACGGTGGCAGTTCATGACAATTTGGACACCAGCTGGCCATATTAGCTGTTTCGGTATCGTTTTTGTTTTTGTTTTCGTTTTCGGTATCGGTATCGGTATCTGGTTGGATTTTGTATTCTCTTTTGAAAGTAGAGCCAAATTAGGAGCCGCAATCGATATGGTTGTGTCCCGTCTCATATTCGCTTCTTCAAATTGTGTACGTCAGTAGATATGTGGGAGAGTGTGTTTGTATCTTTGTATATATATTTATAGAGGGGCGGGGTTAGGTTCGATTCTATCACATCTCTACTCACCTAGTACAGGCTAAACCACCGAGGCAGGGCTCCAGGGCTGCCAACATTCACACGCTCAAATCGCACATCAACGTGTAGACGATTTGTTCCAGTTGTAATTGTTGTTGTGGATTTTATACAAATAATATTGTTGTTGKTTGTTTATTTATTTATTTATTGTTGCCGTAGAAATAATCTTATAGCTGTGTTGTTTTGTGTTTTCGATTTCTATACCATTATATTCGGGTTATTATATAATCGAATTATTAATACATATAAATTGGTATTACTATATATAAATATTATATTTTTAAGTTGTTGTTTTAGAATACCGTTATTAGTTTCATTGTGCGTTTGCTTGTATTAGTTTTGATCTAAAGGCTTGCTATGAATTAAAAAATTATTTAAATTGATTAATTTATTAAATTATTATTAAACTTCACTCTCACTTTACACACATTCAATTATTTTTACTTGAGATTTTGAATTTATTATATTATAATGAATTTATTTAAAAATTATTCTCGCTATTCGCAATTCGTTGAGACAGAATTTTCGTAGTTTTTCCAATTTCCCCGGACATTAGAGTCATAAGGACTGGACCGTTAATATAGGAAAAATGAAAATGCGGCCTGGTAAATAAATAAATAAAGACGCGAAGCAACGTTTAAAGCAGAAACAGCAGCTGAGCGTCGATTTTTAGGACTAGCAGGCGTTGCTCTCTGTACCTCTCCCTCTCTGCTCTCACCCATTTTACCTTTGTCTGTCTCACTCTCACTCTCACTGTCACTCTCGCGCTCGCTTTGTGTTTGGGGCGCATGTGCTTTAGGCGTATTCCGAACGAGTGTGAAAGCTTTTTCTTTCGAGTTGAACGCACAAATTAATTTCTGTTAAGCATACGCAATGTCTGCCACAGGCATTAAATTGAGTTGAATATTTCCTTTTGCTTAAATTGATTTCGTATCATTAAGTCTGGATTATTTAATTGCCATAAATTGTTAACCACTTCCTGCAGCTGAGCTGCATGGACAGCTCCGCCAGTTGGCTGCGTAGGAATGCGAACCGTGCGCGTGAAGCGTGTACGAGGCAATGAACGATTCCAAGAGTTGCTGCAGCCTGTCGTTGAAACGGAAACACACTGCCCTAGTTTTTAGTTGTGCTCCTCGACACATATATACATACGCACATAGACGCAAACACACGCACATATACAGAGTAACATGCACACACACGTAGAGCACAAGCCGCACTGCTCAAATATCGTATGGAATATAGTACATGTTAAAGGAGCGTGTGCTGCACTTAACAAGAGTTGCCATGTTTATTATAAGTATGTAAACAGTTAAAACACGCTAATTTGCTGTAACTACTGTATAAAAACGAGCACAGCCAGTGTTGCCACTGTGTTGCTAAAAGGTAAACAGACCGACCGACCGACAGAGCGAGAAACCGACTGCCTGCCTTGGCTGGCTGTTGGCTGGCTGGGCGCGCATTGAACTCGTTTGGAATTGGGTTTAATTTCCTTGTAGGTATCTGCTGCAGCATACACATGTACACAAACACGCACATGTACACACATACACACGCGCACACCCGGACATCAGAAATGTACATGCTCGGGCACTGACTGACTGACACACATATACCAATGAACGCGCACAACGTGCGCCAACACCAACAACTACGACGACAACGAACGCGAATACGACGACGACGAATAGGAAACAACAAAAATAACATTGACGATGACAACGAAGCGTGGCTAGAACGGGGCCAGGAGCTCATTCGGCTATGGCAACGGCAACGGCAACGGCAACGGTAACAGCAATAGCAACAACAATTTGATACACGATACCCCACTGTACCAAATCTCCGGCTGCCCATCGACTTTATCATCGTGTCCTTTCGCTTGGCGTTGTCGCTGGCGTTGCGTTGTCGTTCTGTTCGTCGTCGTTAAAAACTGTTTTGTGCTCGTTTTGTGCGATTCAGCATGAAACTGGCGCACAGTGCGTGAATCGCGTATGTGCACGTGTGTATACGTGTGCTCTTGTGTGTGCGCCTCTGTGTGGGTAGGCGAGTGAATCTTTCTAGCCATGCGTGTGTGCGGACCTCCGCTTCTTTTAAATAGAAGCCCGCAGCAACGCCAGAATAAACAGAAAACGTTGCCGTGAAGATTCCAATATTTCTTTTGTCGAGCCACAGTTCCTTTGAGACTTTTTTTCAGTTGAGTTAATGCTATATTTCTCCTTCCTTTGTATTTCATTATTTCGTCAAATTATTTTACTGACGAGTTTGAGTTTTCTTTTATTGAATTGCTTGTCCAAAAATATGTTAGAATATTTTGCATATTTACAGCAATTTTTTCACTTTCATTTATTCAATTCTTTAAACCTCCATAATACATGAACGTATTAAATGGAATATATATTTTTTCTTAACTTGGCATACGCAGTTAGAAAATTTTTCACTCTCACAGTATTTGTGTGTATGTATGTATGCGTGTATGCAGTACATATATAAGTAT